CAGCCGGGCCCGCAGGCCGCCCCTTCGGCTGAGGCGGCCGGGGAGATGGTGGGAAAGGCAAGGACTTGGGGGTGCGCGGAGCGTTGTGCGCACGCACACCTGGTCGGGGCCGCAGCCCAGCCCAGAAGCGCCGTTCCGGGGGATGGTGGTTCCCTTCGCTGCCCGGGTCTGTCAGATCACCGACCCTCGCCCTTTACTTGTGCTGGTGGCCGCTTCTTGCGCCGCTGGGGTTTGGGTTTTCAGCCTGGGCGTTGTCTGGCCAGAGCTGTCTTTGGACTGGAGGTGATCTAACAGGAGCGCTCTTCTTTTCCACCCACCCACCCCCCTTGTTTAACCGTTTCCCTTCTCCATCTGTATGATCCTATATTTTCTGAGTCTGACTCTCAGAGGGATGTAGGTTTGCATTCCTCACTCGTGTGGTGGGTTGTTTTGGGGTTTTTTGGTACTATTTGGCCTCTGTGGCCAAGGAGGCGTTTCCTGGAATAACAGTTTAGTAAATCTTTCTTAGAAGTTGAATGCAAAATAATTTGAAGACATATCAATAATATGTCATATTCTGTTTAAACTTCTTATACTCAATTCCGTGGTAAAACCAGATTTTAAAAAATATTGCTGGAGGAGGGGGTGTGTGTGTTAGTTATTAGGGTAGTCATGCAAATCCCGCTGTACAACCAAAGCTATGTTGAGGGTAGAAAGAGAGAGCAGTTATAGAAAATTAAATGTTTGCCTGCATCTGTTGGCAAGAAAGTTAGTAGCTGCTCAGCAGTTTCCAGCAGAACATCCACGTAACGCAAGTGTTCTTTTAAGTCTAGCACTGCAGAATATTGTTTCTGGTTTTTGGAAGCATTAGGTTAGACCGGTTGTTCTCGCTCTATCTGTTGGCCTCAGTTTCTGATGTTTTTGTTGAGTCGAGCTACATAGCAAAAGTCTGCTTTTTATTATAAAAAAAAAGTGTCTGAAAGAGGAAAAACTTGCATTGATTATTACCAATAATTTATTACGTAAATCAAACACACAGAGATTATGTATTCCATGTGGCATTTGCCACAGAAATCAACTGTGTGAATAAGCTATTTTCTTTCCCAGCTAGTTATTTTTACAAACTGTAGGCTTTTCAAATTAGCATAACCTAACAGAGGACTAGCTGCTGTTGATAGGGGATACATTATAAATGAAAACAGGGTGACTGGAAATTTGGAACAGTGTATTCTATAATTCATTTATAATATACTTCTGGATTGTTAGGGTTTCCAAAAGTCTGTTTGAACTGAGGTATTATCACTGGATGAACATATGTTACTTGTTCCTGGAAGGAAAAAAATGGTATCAAATTAAAGGGATGGATAGGTTTTTAATGTAGGTGTTTCAGTTACAAAAAATAATTTCTGCTTCAGGTACTTATGTGAAAATGAACTATCTTTTTTATTTAATGAATATTTTAATAGGTTTGGTATAGAAACCTGCTTCTAACAATAAAACTGGAGATGTAGAGGAAGAATTGGTTCAGGCAGTAAACGGAAACTACTTGCAGTAGAATTTATGAAGTACAAACACCTGTCTGGACTTGACATGGGGAAAGACTTCAAATTAGTACAGTTAGAAAATGAAAAGCTTAAAGTACTTGAAAATAAAAAGCAATATGTTACATGTGGCAAGAGTCATCTGCATGACATGAATGCATAACACTTGTATATGAATACTTGAAGATAAAAGTAATAAGTGATTTCAGGTAGATAGGAAAAAAAGCAGTGTGTAAGGCTATTAAGTCTTCATATTTTCCTCAGATGTTATGTGGGTAGTCACGAGAAACATCTTATCCTTTTGTCGTGAGAGGCCTGAAAACATGGTGTGTATATGCTCACGCTAATACTTCGGCGCAAGTAGGTCTGGTGATAAAAGCAATAGCTCGTGCAAAAGTAGCATTTAGTAGGTTCTTTTGAAAAGCAAATTTTAAAGGTGATATGAGGGGTCTAAATATTGTTCATCCTGTTTCTTGGATTGCTTGCGATGCTGGAGGAAATAGTCTGTGTTTAACTGAAAACCTGAGAGGAATGGCAAGTCTGGGTTTTATTGGCTTTTTTTTTTATTTTTCCCCCAGTAACAAACTTGTTCCAACTGTTGGGCAGTTTTCAGTTTTTTGCTGTATTTATCTCTTGATTTAGGACAAAACATTTGGCTTGAAGAATAAAAAAGGTGCAAAACAACAGAAATTTATCAAGGCTGTGACTCACCAGGTTAAATTTGGTCAGCAAAATCCACGTCAGGTAAGCATTTAATCTGTCATGTTTTCCCACTGTATAGTGAAATCATCTTTCACTGTACATAGCGATTGCCGTGTAATACTGACGTAGAAAAAGGTTGAGATGTTACTTGCCGTATGTATTGTGACTAGCACAGATTTATCTAGATAGTCTTCTTGGAAAGCTTGTCTAGCTTAGAATTATGTACCCAAAACCCCCTCAAACTCAACTAATAAGGGTGTGTGTTTCTTTACACAGTATTCTAATAGTAACATAATTGAATTTAAGGTATACCTAAAAGTGAATTGTAGAACCTGGCTATCAGCAAAGTGTGGTTACATTCTTTCTCTTTTCCTCTTTAATTCCCACCTCTTCTAAGAAACAGTGAACCATTAAAAATAAGAGTAGTTTTTGCTAATATTGGAATTGGGGGAAGATGAAAAAAAAAAATGTATAAGCCCATACGTGTTGCTTGTTCTACTTAGGGAAATACTTATTATGATATTTCTGTATTGTATGCATGGAAGTTTGCATCTATTTGGTGAACTGGTCAAAGAAACTGCAATTTTGAGCCACTGTCTACTACTCTGCTCTTTTGTATAATAAAGTAAAATGTAATGTGGCTGAGATACAATGTTTTGACTGCACTTAGGCAGAAAGCACAAATTTAATGAAAATATTTGTATAATTGAACTGAGTCAGGCCTCTTATTCATATGGTGCTAGGGAAGCTAGTTGCTAAGTATTTATGCAGCTTCCTGTTCTATGAATAAGCCTGTAGAATATTATGTTTGCATCAGCTAAAGTCGTGATGTCATAATTTATGTTAAATTCCTTGCATGACATAAGGATGAACTAACCAATGCCAAGTACAACTTTAAAGATGAAGTTTATATTCAGGTCATTAGATATAACAATTTCTTGTAGTGGAAAGGACTGCTTGATGTCACTTCATACATGTTGGTGTTACTCAAACAGTTCTTCTGAAATTTCTGTATGAAATCCCTGAATCTGTAGCATTTAATGGCATATCAGTATGGAAATTGGCCAACCTAAATTAATTGGTTTCTCAAATGCTCCTGGCTATTGACTGATGTATGTCAGAAGCTAATTTTTGGACCTGATTATACCTTTCTTAACCTGTAAAATGGTTTTCAGTTAGAGTTCTTCCTGAGAAAGAAAGAACACTTTAAAGCAATTAGTGTTGTATCCTGAGATACAAATGGAAATGCTGTCAAGGTTTTTTTGTTTAACAAGGAGGGGAAAAAAAAAAAAAGGCAAGATTGATCTTCATGCTTTTAGAACCCTAGGGTGAAACAAAAGTGTTCATAAAGTACTACTATTGTAGTTGACATATGTGGGCCTGCATGCTATATAAAATAGGATTTATGGACTTACAGTATGAAAACTGAGTGTTCTGTATGTGGACCAAATTAATCTATTCAGTTTTAAAAGGATTTGGCATTTGCTTGACAAATAAGAAGAAAGCTTTTTTTTTTTTAAATATTACACTGTCTTTTACCAATTAAGTACCCCACATATTTGTATAGTGTTGTTCAGTCTCACTAGCTTCCCTTAAGGATAAGAATCAAATCATCTAATAATGTTTCTCCCATGTCCTCTTTCATGTGTCTTTATCCCTCTCTACCACTTTGAAATAGATACAGGCCTTTTTGGGCTTATCTGAAAAGGGTAAGGCAGAGTCTCAGGTTGGGGGTTTTTTTATATACAAACTTTCCTTTTCCTTGGTGAGCTTGTTTTTCAGACCTTGGTCTCTAGTATCTATAAAATGAACGTTCTTGTCTTATAAACCCCTGGTTATCAATGAATTGATATCAATGCAAACAGAAAAGTGTTCTAAAAGCAGTTCCGAACTTCTACGGGCAGATTTCCTGGAAGCGCTACTGGTACACATGAAGAGAAAGAACAAAGCAGCATGTAGGGAACTGAAGATAGAGAAGCTTTTTGCACAGATCTTGAAGTAACTGCATTGAATAGTTGCACTGCTAATGTATCACAAAAGAGCAACTAACTTTTCCTCTCCTTAGTCTCAATATCTTTCACTTGATTTCCTAGCCTGTAGAGGTGGTACAGAGGTGACTGTGTCATCTAATGGTACCTACCAGCATCTTGCATTTCTGACCGAGTTTGAAATCTCTTCTGTTTGAAAGGTCAGTACCACTAGATGGCACTGGCCACTCACACAAGGGCAGGAATTTGGAGACGTTCAGAAGTCACAGGTTCTTTACTTCCTCCCCATATAAACTAATTTAAAATGATTTGCTGTTTTAATTTACCGCTCATGTGAAGTGAGTAATGTCATTCTGATTAAATATGAATAACTTCAAATTTGGGGTCATTATAGGCTGCTCAAACAGAAAGTGAGAAGAAATTAAAAAAAGAAGATAAGAAAAAAGAATTACAAGAATTAAATGAGCTCTTCAAGCCTGTGGTTGCTGCACAGAAAATTAGCAAAGGTATGAGTAATTGAATTCTCTTCGCTTATGCTCTTATTCATATATCTACTTCAGGTAAAATAACCCTTTAAAAATACCAGTTCATTTCTTAATAAAGTAGATATGTCTGTTTCCTTCTCTATCTAGTGTACCAAGTAATTTGTCAGTAATGATTTGACATTTTTTTAGTAAGTCATCTGAGTTTATTAGGTCATTAAAGTATTGAAAGCTGCATTGATATTGACAGGGCTACTAGAGATACTTTGCTGCATTCAGGTTCATTAATTAGATGCTTCTGGATCAGTGGCATGATTATTTTTTTGTGTGTGATGGTATTTATTTAAAGCAGCATGTCTCCCCAGGGAAATGTGAATGTCCAGGTATTACAAGGAATATAATATGATAGCTGTCGCCCTCGCAGAAAACTTGTATTCAAATCAGAATGGTAAAAATTTTTCAGTTACTTCTGTCCCACCTCACTGTTAACAATGGGACTTGGTTTCCGAAGTGGGGTCTTATTTCAACTCGGTTATTGAACAAACTAGTTTTGTGATTAAATGTAAGTTTAAAGAGTGTTTGATACTTCTAGGAAACTTGGCAGTTGGCTGCCATGTGGGAGGGGAAAAAATCATGGTATTTTTAGGAAATAACTAAGTTTTATCAACTCTTTTGCTTTATTACTCCTCTGGAACTAATGAAATAATGTGCAATAACTTTTGAGTAAACAAGTGTGATTTCCATGTATGTTTTTGAACAAATATCAGATTTGCTTTATTGTGTTGCTTAGCAGCAGCAAAGGCCAATTTGCTGTTGATGATCTGCAGTAGTCAGCTTTCTGCAAATGAAGTAGCTCTTTAAGTAATTTCAGAAGACTGATGTTAAAGGAGACATGGTTCTCAAAACTTAATATACAAGTTTTGCTCCAGTTTTGTGGTTTTATATTTTAATACTGTTTTTAAACAAAACTTTGTTCACTCAGGTGCTGACCCCAAATCTGTAGTTTGTGCTTTCTTCAAGCAAGGACAATGCACTAAAGGAGACAAGTGCAAGTTTTCTCATGATTTGTCTTTGGAAAGGAAGTGTGAAAAACGAAGTGTCTACATTGATGCGAGAGATGAAGACCTTGAAAAAGGTATTATGCACTAGAAAATGACTACTACGCCATTCTGATTCTGAAATTGGATTTTTAAGCTTAAGAGTCGTCCTATGTTGTGGTTAGGATCCTGAAGAGCTTGGTCAGTCATCAAGGCAATCCATACTCCTGTGTTTATAATTATGAACAACAGTGAAACTTCCTTTAAAAAGTGTACTCACAAGTATTCTTTAGAACTTTTTAGAAAAAGGGTGTCCCAATGATACTGTATGGTGGGTTTTTAATTCTGCTGTATGACGTATTATGTCATACAAGTAGCAATTTGTACAGTATTTGGTCTTTCTTATAGTGGCGAGTTTCTTCTACATTCTATAAAATAGCAGTGCAAAAGGAGGAAGTGTCATGAGCAACCCCAGTTGCCTTCCAGAACTAGCACTAGTGTTTGCCCAAATGTGCGCAGTTCTAGAATTCAGGGTACTTGGTAGTTTCTTCTGTGACTTTATCTCCTTTCTCCAAATCATTTGTTGGCAAAGTACTCTGAACTTTACTTTTATTTAGGGGGTGGAGATTTTGTAGTCAAAATAATTTCTTTTGGTTTTCCACAATTCATCATGCCTTGGTCTGTATTTGAATTCCAGCCTGTGTCGTGCTAAATGAATAGGATAGGATCCTGTAGATGCACTACTCCTATTACCATTGGTGATCTTGCTTCTTTTGATGACACCTTTTAACTTTAACACAGAAAATTTGGTATTATCTCTTCTGATCCTCAAGTTGTATCATCTGTATTTCTGGACATGAGCCTCCAACCTTCTCTTTTATTCAGTCATCTTCACTTTGTCTTTTCCCCGTGTCCATGTTCAGTAGTTTACAGATAGAATGACAGGGTTTTTTTAGTCTTTAACTGAAACACACTTTATGCATGTCAAAATAAAAATTTCTAAGGCTTTTGAGAAAATTGTCTTGTGAGCAGCATAGGATAGTTTGAAAATACTAATATAAAAGCCTGAATTTGTTTTCCATTCTATAACTAAAACGTAAGAATTGCTTATTAAAACCATTATTAGAGAGAAAAGCAACTCGACACCATTGTCTAGTATTTGGTATTTTTGTGAAACCATCTTTTGTCTTCTAGATACAATGGATAACTGGGATGAGAAGAAGCTGGAAGAAGTGGTGAACAAGAAGCATGGTGAGGCGGAAAAGAAAAAACCCAAAACTCAAATAGTATGTCTCTTTTTTTTTAATTGAGCTGTAGTAGAGAAAATTAACTGCAAACTGGTATTAAATATGGTTATTGATAACTAAAGATTTTGAATGAAAATTATAAAAATATTCTGCGTACATAGTTGGGCTGATAGTATTTCTAATAATGTATTTAAAAAATCAAAACCACCTCAAAGCTCTTTCAGTCAGCATAAGGTTTTTTTCTCAAGTAAAATATAGATGGATAGTAGATAAAGTGCTTTCAAAATGGAAATGCTAAAGGAATTGGTAATATATCTAATGCATCCTACTTGCTTAGAAGATTCAAGTGTTGTGATTGGTTAGGTCTGTCATCTCATTCTAGTGACTGCCATATATATTGGCTTGCTTATGTCTTGGGTGACACATAAGCTAAAATTTACTAATTGAGTGTCATTTGTAGTTCCTGACTTGGAACTTCAAGAATATTCTTCAGTTTGTGCACTAAATGGTATATCATCTCAATCTCTTTATCATTCTTGAGAACTATTTCACCTTGATGTCAGTATCAAATAATTAAATATTCTCTTGATATTGCTTAAATTTGCCAAAGTTAAACTTTGATATGGCTAAGTGTGAACCATGAATTGCTTGTTAAAAGTTCCAGAATGGCATCTTTACCTCAGGGTCGTGAGCTGGAAGGTTTAACATCTGAGGCATGTTCTATTTATTTAGATTCAACCTACTCTTGATGTTGGTGAGCAGGAAGAACAAGACTGTCAGCATGCTTTTACACGTGCAACTGGGTTTACAGTAGTACGCAGTTGCCAGTCTTCTGAGTCATCCTGCCTTTTTAAATTGGGATTATGTTAAGGGGGGAAAGTTGTTGACTGAGTTCTAGAAAACTAGTTGCACTTCTTATTTCTGCGTTTTTAGTAGCAATGCATTTCATGTGTTTCTTCAGTTTTGAGCACAACTGGCTTTGAATTATTGTACTTCTGACATGCAGTAGCTATACAAGTAGTGTAAATTGCTGGGGATGAAAAGAGAATTCAGTGCTAACAGCCGTTGTTTTGTACAGGTCTGCAAATATTTCCTTGATGCTATTGAAAACAACAAATATGGATGGTTTTGGGTCTGTCCAGGTGGAGGCGACAACTGCATGTATCGCCATGCTCTCCCTCCAGGTTTTGTATTAAAAAAAGACAAAAAGAAGGAGGAAAAGCAAGATGAAATTTCTTTAGAAGATCTAATAGAAAAAGAGGTAAAGTTGTCAGACAGGTACCTTTTGGTGGTAGTTGTTTTTGTTTCTCTGAAGAGACAGTTGTAAATAACTTCCTAATTAATAATTTAAAAGTTTAAAATGGTTTTGGAGCTGTATGAGCTAGGGTGAAGGATGCATAGTACTTGATTCATGTTTTTGTTTACAAACTATTACCTAGTAAATAGATCAAACTATAGCTGCATACTTAGCACAAGTGTTGCTAATTCCTTTTTTTAGGAGGCTTCTGTTTGTTACTGCTACTTCTCCTTTAAGTATTACAACTGTTTCTGTGGGCCTTTCTCATCCCCAGCTTGCTGCCTCCTTAGTTCTTGCGTAACTGTGTAATGAGGAAGCAGCTCCAAGAGAGCAGGACCTTCTGAAGGCATTGTCTTGCTACTCTGCTTATGTCTGTCTCCGTTGCCTGGTGGTGTCAATCTGAGGAGAACCTGAGCTATTCTCCTTGGTTTCTTTGCTCCTGCGCTTCTCGTGTCAACTGTCATGTTGGCTTACTTTATTAACTGGAAAAAAAAGTCAAAGTTTAAGTTGATGGCACACGTTTAACAGTGGTGAGAATGAAGAAGGAATTAGAAAGAAATGTTTTCAATTAGTTTCTAGAAAAGAGTATTTAAATCTCTGATTTGTTATAGCGTTTATAAACAATTTTTAGCATTAATAAGTATCTTTACTTGACAGCGCGCTGCATTAGGACCAAATGTTACCAAAATTACTCTAGAGTGTTTTATTGCATGGAAGAGAAGAAAAAGACAAGAAAAAATTGATAAAGCTGAGCAAGATATGGAGAGGAGAAAAGCAGATTTTAAAGCTGGCAAAGCACTGGTGGTATGTTCTAAACTCCAATTGTTAATGTAAGAAAGTAAAAAAGTTTTTGTAACAGGGTAGCTGGCATGGAATTGCTTTGGGTTTGGTGGATTTTTTTTTGTTTTTTTTTACAGCAGTATGAATTCTATTGAGTGATAAATTAAGATTTCTTTTTATGTGACTAGATTAGTGGACGTGAAGTATTTGAGTTCCGGCCAGAGTTGGTTGATGCAGATGATGAAGAAGCAGATGACACCCGTTATGTTCAAGGAACAGGAGAAGATGATGAGGTAAAGGGCAGGGTTGACTCGAATATTTCAAGTTACGTTCAAGTTTGGAAACTCATAATTTGAGAGCTCTTTATAGTGCAATTAATAAGCTTGGTTCTTAATTTAACGCTGCTACAGAGTATATCTTGTCAGAGTTTTGGTGTGAAAAGGAAGCTTAAAAAAAAATCTGTAGGAATCCTGCAGAAATGAGAATTTCTGTCAAAAAAAAAAAAAAAACCCACAAAAAAAAAGTAATTCATGCAGAGCATCTTGGTTTGTTTTTCAGATGGAAGACCCTGTGTGCATAAATGATGTTGATTTGAATCTGTATGTCCCAAAGGCTGTAGATGAGACTGGCATTACTGTGGCTAGTCCTGAGCGATTCAGCACATACAGCTCAATAGAAAAGGATGGTAAGTTCGTTATTTAGGCGTCACTAATATGGCACTGAATTGTTAAGAGCTCCCAAAAGGTAGATAGAAATGAATTATTGATCTGCTGAAAAGAAGCCTTTGTTTAAAAAGGGTGAAGGGTGGGGGAGTAAAATTGCTATCAATGATACATGTAGTTACTAAAGAAAAAGCTTCTAGCAAATGCTATGCACTTCTTATTTTCTCAAATTTAAACAAAAGGTAGTGCTTATGGCCACTTCAGGTAAATCCTTAGGATTTTTTTAGCAGTTTCTTTTTTTTTTCCCCGGATGTAGTAAGTGACTGAATAAATAATCAACAAAAATCCAAGATTTTCTTTGTATGTTCTATCTAGCTTAAGTTAGCTCGTAACTTCTTAGAGCAAAGTCTTGATCTTGGTGCACTTGTGGAATGTGTACCCTGATATTTAAGACCCTGTGTCTTTTAAGTGCAGACACGGAATAGGAGCAGCTCATTAAGTTTTACCCAGTTATGTAAACAGGAGTTTGAGGAGTTGTAGTTATTTTTTTCAATGTGTTTAGATCATCAGTTATGAAAACCTACATATTAATCAGGTACGTGCAATTTAACCAATTTAAGTCTACATAAATTTCAAGTAAAGTAACTTCTTTATAGTTTAAAAACTTTAAAGCCTGTTTAGTGGTATTGTGAATTAGTGATTAAGAAACTTGTGACACTGAAATGTGTAAGCATTATTTTTATTTTCAGATAATAAATTAAGTGAAGCTTCTGGTGGTGATATAAACAGCAGTGAGCAAAATGATTTAGAGGAAGATAATGATGGAGATGGGGAGTTGGAAAATGGAGTAATGGATGCAGTTCCAGTTGATGAAAATCTTTTTACTGGAGAGGACTTGGATGAACTAGAAGAAGAACTAAACACTCTTGATTTAGAAGAATGAATTAAAAAGCTCAAGTGAGGAATTAAATCAATGTGACAAAGTGAAAACTGACTACATTTTTTCTCATTTTTGAATAGAATTCTTAAACAGGATGTTTATGGTTACCCAGCTGATTCTGATGGGCACGACATATGCCAGGAGTATTTTCCTTCCATCTCATCTACTCAAATCTTGACTATGCTCACAGTAAAATATTCAGAATAGTTGAGAATTACCTGGCAGCTGACTGCAGAAAATGAGATTATAACTTTCAACTAAAAGTAGGAAGTGTAACTGCTTTGCCAGTGTGCAAGTATAAGTGGGCAATTTGATACCAGGTACAGTATAAAAATCAAAGTATACATTCTTCACCAGAACTGCATTTTTATTAGTGGTTGTGTTGATTTAGAAACTGCCTAGAAGTGTTTTTAGGCAGCATTCTCTAATGGAGCTGATGCAGATTATGCTTCAAGTGGTAATTAGCTTTGTTTGATCAGCTGGATACCGAAGATTGTGAACTGATACATCATACAATACGGTGCCCTCTGTTTAAAATGTTTTAAACTTTCCCACCGGCTTTTGCCAACAAAACTGTAAATAAAAACTATCAACTTTAAAACAACTGTGTTGATTTTTCTCTAAGTTAGGATATCATACCAAACTGTTAGTAACATCTTTTTCTATACAGCGATAAACATTTTTCTCGCCAGTCCTGATAGACAAGCGATGATGTTGGCTTCAGTTCAATTAGGGCTAACTGCAATTACAATTTTTTTCCACACTTCCTGCAGTGTAAAATTGGGCAGCTGACTTTTCCCCAACTGTTCTTATCTCCTACCCATCCACTAACTGATGTAATACATGCTGAAGATGGCTCATTGCTATTTGAGTTTCATTCTTTCCCCACTGTGTTTTGCTTATTAGCAAAGACTTCAAGCTCTGCAGAGCAGGGATGTTACGGTCTAAAAAAATGCCTGTTGTATCTTTGGTGTTCTAGAAATAACACCAAGTTACGCAGTAGTAAGTCGCCTCAAAGCAGAGCAGTGCCGTACCCTGGAGGTGCACTTACTGTCAGGCTTAAATGAAGTCGATATGCCCTTTTAAAACTTAGCGAAACCCTGCTGTAAAGACTTCTCGGTAGCGGTGCTTTTTCAAGGGGGCTGTAGGTTATGCCTCCTTGCCATACTCCTAATAATATCTGCAACAGTATTGCTGTACTAATGATAGCATTTGTATCGGTTTTTTTTTTTAAGGCTTTTAAATTACTACTTAAAGTAGTAAGACTAAGATTCATGGCATTGTTGGTGAGCTTTCTCAAACTGCTTTTGGGTGGTAATATGAGCTTTAATGGTTATTTCTGACACTGCTAAATTGACTCTTGTATTTTGAATGCTATTTCTGAAATAGCTGACCGAGACATATTTTTTGCCCTTTTTGGGATTTTTGGAATTTGTTTTCTCCTGTAGGAACAAGAAGCAGTGTTTGGGAGAAAGAGGCCTACTGAAATTGACTTCTAAATGTAAGTGTTTAAGGAAAAGCTCCAATATCAGATATAAGTATTTCTTTATGGAGTTTTTTTTCTCCTGTGGCAGTAAATAAACAGTGTTGACAGATCATTGTATTATACTGGCCAGCAATAGGATACCTGGATACCAGGATACTTAAGAATGCAATTCATATTTGAATGTATGATGCATAATTTTTCAAAGTTGTATATTTTAAATGGGAATAAAAGTAATTTAATCGTTATCAAGGACGAAAATGGCTTTCTATATTTTGTGTCTAAGAGGCTGGTATATTGGATACAATACTGATTTCTGTAATACTAATCTGTTTCCCTGAGCTAGAAGGGTTAAATCCTTGTCACAATTGTCAGTGTTGTTGTTTGCATTTTACGGTGGAGGAATGACAGGGTGTAACTCATAGTGATTTCAGCTAATAAAACACTGAGATGGGCAGAGAGCGAGCGTGTGCTCTTTTGAGTCTAAAGCACTTGGCTGTGGCACACAACTCCTTTGCGCGCGTGTCATTTAAGCATTAGGACAGTTGCTTTATGTAGTATTTAAATATGTTGAATATATGTAAGTTAGTTGAGGAAAAACTTATTTTTATAGGCAGTAGCTACTGACAGATTACTTCTTGTGGTCAGGAAACAATCATTCGCTGTTTTTTCACCCTTTCTTCCCATCTTACTCAGGCACCTCTGACTGGATGTGTTCTAGCCTCTTGGCTTGGTTGGTCTGTCTGGATTTCTCAGTGTGAGAACAGGTGACTGCTTTTAAAGAAGTCTTTGTCCATGTACCATTCAGGCATACTCTGAAGGATCAGTAGCAATGTGTTGCTACTTGTTCCTTCTCCTTGAAGATAGGCTTGAATTTAACCTGTTAAAAGTTCTCAGTCTTGTGAGTTCAGGAAGCCTAAATTTGCGGCTGACAGGGCGTTTCAGTCAAATGCTCAAATAAAAATGAATGCTAAGGCCTTACTTAAGGTAGATGAATTATTAATGTTTTGGAAATGAGCGTTGTGATAGAATGGATTCCACCTGAGTGTGTCTTACCACTGAGTTCCTGTTGATGCAAGTTTCCTGAAATTAATGCAGTGTTAACTGAATGAGTCATGGAAAAATGAGATATAATCTGAATCCTAAAATAGCAGTCTCTTCCCTTTGACTGTCCAGTTCGTATGGGTCAAAAATACAATATTTCACTGTTAGAGGAGCAGGAAGGCTCGGTCTGAGACACTTACTTTAAAGGATCACAAACCAGGGAAGAAACACCTTTGCAATAAACTTTATTCCTATCCCTTGCAGCCTGCACCACTGTTGACATCTTGTTTTTTCTCATAACTTAAATGAGTACTACACGAGAAGCGTAGTGTTGCTATGGCTTTAGTGTTCCTTGAGGAAACTCGCTAGTGTAGCACTCTGCCTTCACAGCACTCTTGTTACTGGACACCTGTGTGGACAAAACAAAAGCCCCTGCCTTTCATTCCTGGTGTTTGCTATTGTGGAAGTAGAGTATTTCTTGGCTTTAAATCTTGATGTATGTTAAAATCCCATTTCTATCACACGCAAAAACTGCTCGAACTGGCTGTCTTCAAGTTCTTACTGGATTTTTTTTTTTTTGAGACCTGTGTAATTGAATTTTATGCTTGCCACTGCTTTGTTACTCAGAGCTTCCTTCTTGTTTTATAATAAACACAGTTGATAAAGGCCTAGGAAAAAAGTGAAGGGAAAAAAAGGTAAAGACTGACCCTAAATATTACACTTATCTGTTAGCTGTCTATAACAGAAATGTTGCCATTTCTTAATGGACAATGCTCCCCAAATGCTTTTTATTAACAGAAGGTTTTACTATTGATAAACTTTGGATGAAGCAGTGGTACTTGTCTTGGCAATTCAGTGTTGTCATAATAGACTGTGTTTATTTAGCAAATAGATTGTACAGGAAGAACTTACATGTACAAATTAGTATACTTTATAAATATCTTCTTTCACAGTTTAGTCAGATTTGTGGAATAACAAATGTCAAAGTATGCTGCAGACATTCTGAATGCTGATTTCAAAATTACTTTGCAGTGTTTGTGCCCCTTTTTTAAAAATTACCTGAATACAATAAGCTACACAGGCTTAAATACTTTGTAAGCTTATATATCTTGCAAATAACATATTTGGAAGCTTCATAAACAGTGTTTGTTATTCTTCTGAATAACTTACTGAAACTGTAGAGTGATTAAGTGACTAAACAGAAAAATCTTACAAAGTTAGATCTTTGTTTCCCTTGCAGTGAATTATTACAGTCCTACGTTGAGTGAGATTGCTGTCATGTGCAAATATCTCTCTCATATATATTCACCTGAAGTATTTCAGCAGAAATACTCCCTGAATAACATCAGTAAGAATAGGAAGAGGATTGGAAAAATGAGATCTGGGAAGGCCAGAGGAACCACAAAAAAGAACAGTAGCAGCAGCAGCACTGCGTCAGACAAAGAGACCATGTATCACACTCCCAAAACTAGACATGGGGAATAAAGAGGTAAGAAAAGGACAAGCCCATCTACTTCTGAGGAGTGCTTGTCATGTGTAGCTTCCAACAGCTCTTAATCTAGAAGATTTCTTCTACTGGAGGTAGCCTATGATGGCTTTCTCTTCCAAGTATGTTCTCTCTTTCTCCCTTTTAATACCTATATACTTTTAGCTTTTTTTTTTTTTAAACCCAGCAGTTCAACAGCTCTGCTATGTCTTGTTTTGAACATGACTCCTACTAGCTTATATTTATTAGACCTCTAGGGAAAAATATTTGGAGGAAGTGATATCCTATGCTAGCTTTTGACTTGATGCCAAGTAGAGAAATTGGATATTAAAAAAGGAGTTGATGTATTTCAGTTGTGAAGAACACAATCTCTTGATCTATTTTAGTGCTAGAAACAATTTTTTACAGAATTAGAAACTTTATCTCTTTTCAAGGTGCCTGATTCTTTGTTACGGATGTGTCTTAATCAGCAAAATCTTTAATGAAGCAAATAGTCTTTGTTCCCACTTAGGTACCAGTTGTATTTTATGTAGCTATGATCACATTAAGTGCTTTTACACTGATATCTGCAAATCACTGTTCTGTTTTTGCCTCACACTAGTATTAGAGGCTCAGAAGTGACCTTGGCTTAGTCTGTCACTTTCAGTTCTTTTGTTTCAATAGATGCTCTGTCTCTTTACAGATAGTGACTGTTGCTGGTATTAGCAATAAGGCCAAGATGTTTTATTCATTTATGATGTTATAGCCCTAATATGTGACCACACCGGGCTCCTTCGTAGCACATTATTAACATGAATGGCAAAAATAATCTCTTCTTTCAATCATAAAATGGCAGTGTTTTATGCTTAGTGAAACAGACCTCAGAGATAATCTCGTTATTTTACATTTGTGATAGGAAGTTGTTACAGAATGTAGTACATTTGGACATAAATTTGAGCAAGGCTGGCTTAAAATTAGAGATGTTCCCAAAGTAAACCCAGTCAAAAATAAAAAATGAGATGGATTCCTAAATTAAAGCAAGATACAATGGCAAAGAAAACATCACAGCTTTCCTTTAAAAAAAAACCACCTAAACTGCTGTGTAAAATGCATGGGAAGAAGTAACAGCATTCCTGAAGGGAAGAGAGGAGCAAATTAAGAGATTCACAAGGCAAAATTATATTCTTGGTACAGTCAGTCATTAGGGAAATGTCTTCTATGGATGCTGCATCCTTGGACCTGTGTTGGAATGAAACTGTTTTGTCAGCATATAATTTGGGTGTAGTGCCTCTTTGTAGCTGTCTTTATGTAATAATACGAATCCACTGCAAACTCTCAGTCAATGTTTTCTGCTAATCCTAGTGATTGATGTCTGACATGTTGAGTAGTTTAGTTGTGATTTGGGAACAGACAGCTACTTAAGAAAAAGATGAATTGACATCCACTTTAAAAATTCTGTAGCTGCAACGTAATGCCTCCTTAAAATCAGATAACAGCCAAGTTTCTAGTCAGGAAACCTTTCATCTTCACTCTTCATCGCTTTCTTTTGTTGTCTCCTCTCTCTTCCAAGTATAAACACTACATAAGGCAGGCTTTTTTGACTGACC